GAGCAGAGGAAGGCCCGACTCGCGGAGACCAGGCTTGCGCAGGCCAGCGCCTTCCCTGCGGCCATCGCCCCGCCTTGTTATTATCAGTATTGTTGTGTCCTGTCTCACCAGAATCATCATCATCATCAGCAGCAGAATCAGCATCAGAACCAGCATCAGCATCAGCATCATTACCAACACCACCATCACCATCATCATAGTCATCACCATCAGCAGCATCATAATCAGCATTAGCATCAGCATCAGCATCTCCATTCATCATCATCATCATCATCATCATCATCATCATCATCATCATCATCATCATCATCATCATCATCATCGGCATCATCATCATAATCAGCAGCATCAGCATCAGCATCACCACCACCACCACCACCATCATGACCTTCATCAGCACCATCATCCTCATCGTTATCCGCAGCACCATCTGTTACCATTCCCATCCACTCCTTTTCCTCATACGCAACGCCTCCCTGTCGCACCCCGAGGCGTGTCAGTAGGGTGGGCTGGGCGTTTCGTGTGAGACTTCCTCTTCTTGCATGGTCCTGAAGCTGACATACTGCAGGAGCTTCACGGATGGAGGGCGGCTTGTTTTCGAAGTTTGTCTCTCGCTTTAGCGTCGCGCGCATTCGTTTTAAGAGCTTACAGACATTTCAAGGGTTCCCATGGTTACTTTCCCAGGAACGGCGGTTTGACACATGTCGGATTGTCAGGGCGCGACAGTTACGTTGATTCGCGGCGTTGAACTATTAGGAGTGGTGCTCAAGCACGATTCAGGATCGTCAAGGCACAATAGCCGCGGTGATTCGCAGCGTTGGCGTCCCAGGAGTGGTGTTCTGGTACAGTCCGAGATTTGCGCTCTGTTGTTTTACAACGGGGCACTTCCTTCACTGACTATGAATTTTTGTAGCGGCCTATGAAGTGTGAACATGATTGTTTTCAGAGTTTACACTGGTCCTCCTCCCCCTTCTCTTCCTCATCCTCCTCATCCTCCTCTTCCTCCTCCCCCCCCCTTCATCCTCATCATCACCATCATTATCACCATCACCATCACCATCGTCATCATCACCACCATCATAATTGTCGTCGTCCTCATCATCATCACCACCATCATCATCATCATCATCATCATCATCATCCTCAGCATCATCATCATCATCATCATCATCATCATCATCATCATCATCATCATCATCATCATCACCATCACCATCACCATCATCATCACAAGCACCAGCATCATCCTCATTACCGTTACCACCGTCAGCACCGTATCATCATCATCATCATCATCATCATCATCGCTATCATCATCATCATCATCATCATCAGCATCAGCATCAGCATCATCATCATCATCATCATCATCATCATCATCATCATCAACATTAGCATCATCATCATAATCATCAGCATCGCCACCATCATCATACCCACCAGCATCACCATCACAATCATCATCATCAGCAGCATATAAAATCATCATCATTAGCACCATCATCATAATCATCAGCATCGCCACCATTATCATAACCACCACCATCACCATCACCATCACCATCACCATCACCATCATCATCATCATCATCATCATCATCATCATCGTCATCGTCATCATCATCATCGTCGCTATCATCCGCAGCAGCATCACCACCATCATCATTGCCAAGGCCGCGCAGGCGTCGGACATGGACATGTTCTATTCTCGTGCCCTTCTCCCTCGCTCAGAACTCCCCGTTCCACCTGCCCGTGATGATTCAGGTGTTTGGTTACACTTGGGCGGCTATGGCTCTGGGTTCACGGTCACTGGCAACATTTATTGTGACGGTAGTTGCCGATCATTGTGGTACTATTTCTTGCTTGCTCGTGCTGGATGGGGCATGGCGATCTTCGATTCCGAGGGCGAGCTGAAGGGTGCGTACTTTGGTCCACTGCCTGGTCCGATCCAGTCGCCCCCACGAGCGGAGCTATTCGCCAGTCTGTGCGTCTTGTCCGCCGTGGTTTCCCCTGCCGTGGTGCACACTGACCACCTGGAGTTGGTTAGCGGCATCGCTCGGGGCAAGGACTGGTGTTTGCACCCAGCACGCGCCAACTGAGATCTATGGACTCGCATCTGGTGGAAGCTGGATGACATCGGCAACGGCGTTACGCTCGTGCACGTGGAGGGCCACCAGACTGGGGAGGGCTTCCATCGACGCGGCAACGACTGGGCCGACACCGTCGCCAAGCTGGGCCAGCAGGCGCACGCTATCCCCGCCGACGTCGTGAACGTTGTGAGGGAGCGCCTCCGCGACGTTCGCCAGGTGGCGTGCTGGCTGGCCGCTCAGTCGGCCGGCGTGGCGGTCGGAGCTCTGCCGCGCGATCGCCCCGCCGCGCCTCGCCGCCGGCCGCGGCGCCAGCGGCCGACCGTCCGACGGTCGACCTCTGCCTGTGTTCCCAACGCTGTCTTTACATGGTCCATGGCTGGTGGCAGTGTCAGTATTGCCCGCGCAAGGCCTGCACCATCAAGGGCCGGGAGCGGCTGATGAGGACAGCCTGCGTTCCCGGGCGTCGGGCATCGAGGGCAAGTACGGCCACTGCTCTTCAGCGATGCCTCCGGCCACTCAGGAGCACGATCTGGGTCGTCGCGGTGATGTCAGTGGCGATGCGGTCGGGGCCGGACTAGACAGTACTAGTCAAGTTGATGCTCGTCCTTCCAGTCGGCTGGGGCCCATTGAACATGTCGTTCGCAGCTCGACTTCGAGCTCTTCCCGTGCCTTGGCTCCGGCTGCCGCAGAGTCGATCGGCGATGGCGGTGCGCCGAAAATGCCGCGACTTGGTGCGTCGCCTACTGATGTCTTTGCCACAGCCGCGCCAGTTTCGTTGCCCGTGGCCTTGCCGAGCTCGCTCAAGCGGGCCTCTGGCGGCGACGGCCCTCCGCCCAGGAGGGTGCGCTTTGCAGAATCAGCGGAGGTTAGCCCGGCCACCGCAACGCAGCCTGGGGCCCTTACAGTGGGCGACGCGTTAATTGCGGCCGCTGCGGCAGCGTCCAGTGCAGCAGCCAGTCCGAGCTCCGCTGAGAGCTTCTCTTCTGTTAATCCTGCCGCCGCAGTGCCGCGGATGGAGTCCGCTGGACCCGCGGTTGCATCAAATAATCCTCCGCGCGACGGCGAACCCAGGAAATCGGCCGCGGGCCCTGTGAGCGCGACCGGCAGGAACCGCGCCGCTTCCTCCAGCGCGGCTGACAACACGCAGGAGGTTGTCAAGCGATCCCGTGCCCCAGGGGGTGTGAAGCGCGCGGAGGTGGACGTCACCTCGCAGGCCCCCCTGCTCACCAGCGGTTCCGTGCCTCTGGAGGCAGCTCGGGGTCATCGCATGCAGGTTTCGGATGGACTCGTTTGTTGTATAGCCTGTGGCGCGATCGGTCGCTTTCGCCGTGGGCTCCTCATGGGAACCTGCGAGCCCGAAGTCCTTCGCCCGGAGGCGGGTTTTTCCTTTCGGCGCTCCTCATAGGCTGGGGGGGATTCCAGTGGTCCCTCCTCGCGTGCCCGCGGCCGCCTCAGCTCATAGGCGGCCAGCCAGCGTATGGTGGTTTCAACTCCTGTCGCTGCCTGCCGGGATCCTCTGCTTGGCGTGGGTGGGCGCTTGGGCCTTTTTCAGGTGTGTTTTTTAAGCGTTCCATCGCGCTGATGTGCGGTGGGGCCTCTCGTGCTGCGTGTTAGCGCTGAGCGCCGCGAGTGCGTATGGCAGCGAACCACCACCATCAGCACCATCACCATTAGCATCAACATCATCATCATCATCATCATCATCATCATCATCATCATCATCATCATCATCATCATCATCAGCATCGTCATCATCATCATCACCATCAGCATCATCAGCATCATTATCATCATCGCAATCAGGGTAATTCCGATTCCGCCGGTTCGATTCGAACCGATTTCCGCGATTCCGATTTCGAACCGACTCGATTCCGGGATTCCGATTCGCGATTCCGATTTCGAGGTCGCCTGATCCGGCTTCTGCCGATTCGATGCGTCAGCCGATTCCTGCCGGCTTTTGCCGATCCGGCTTCGCTCCAGCTCTGGCCCCCAAGGGGAGGAGGAGGAGGAGGAGGGAGGATGGAACCCCCAGGGGGGAGTCCAAAAACCCTTACCCCCCCCCAGGGGGTGTCCAAAAGCCCCAGGACCCCCCCCCTCCCCAGGAGGGGGTTTTCCAAAAGCTCCGGGACCCCAAAGCCCCCCAGAGGGGGTTTTCCAAAAGCTCTGGGACCCCCAAACCCCCCCAGAGGGAGGTCCTAAAGCCCCGGGACCCCAAACCCCTCCCAAGGGGGGGTTTTCCAAAAGCCCCGGGACCCCAAACCCCCTCCAGGGGGGGGAGAGGTTCAAAAGCGCCAGGACCCCAAACCCCCCCGAGGGGGGAGTTTTCCAAAAGCTCCGGGACCCCAAACCCCTCCCGGGGGGGGGGGGGGGGTCCAAAAGCTCCGGGACCCAAAACCCCCCCAGGAGGGGGGGTTTTCCAAAAGCTCCGGGACCCCAACACCCCCCAGGGGGGGGTTTTCCAAAAGCTCCGGGACCCCAAACCCCCCCAGGGGGGGAACCAAAAACTCCGGGACCCCAAACCCCCCCCAGGGGGGGGTTTTCCAAAAGCTCCGGGACCCCAAACCCCCTCCCAGGCGGGGGTTTTTCAAAAGCCCCGGGACCCCAACCCCCCCCAGGGGGGGGTCCAAAAGCTCCGGGACCCCAAACCCCCCCCAGGGGAGGGTTTTCCAAAAGCTCCGGGACCCCAAACCCCCCCCAATGGGGGGGGGGTCCTAAAGCTCCGGGACCCCAAACCCCCCCCAGGGGGGAGTTTTCCAAAAGCTCCGGGACCCCAAACCCCAGGGGGGGGTTCAACCCCGAAATGGAACGAATTGCAACCGACTGGTCCCAATTCCAACCGGTCGGAGCGAATTGCAACCAGAAAAGAGACCAATTCCAACCACAAATGAGACCAATTCCAACCCAACCAAAAATGAGACCAATTCCAACCACGATTGGGATCTTCGGAATTCT